TTTAAAGAAAAGCTTTTGTTTTAAGATTAAAAAAAAAAAAATATATATATATATATATAAAATAAAAGAAAGAGAACAAATTCGGGGCAAAGAAAAAGGAAAACGTAAGCAAGCACATTTTGTGTGATTTTCTAAAGATAAAACATAAAATTTGTAAACGAAAGGGGCCTTATAAAATTTGTGCTTTTTATTTTCTTTTTTCTTTAGAGAATACATAATATGATTAAAAAATGTTAAAAATGAAAAATATTCGATATGTATGTGTGAAAACAGTATTTAAAAATACTGTTAGTAAAAATATATTCAGCATGTTTATAAGAAAATCCAAAAAAATACAAAAAATACAAAATATTACCTAATTACCTCAATTTTCTTAGGTATTTTAAGATTATTTGGCAATGTAAATTTTGTTACAATTTTACCTCTTATTTATAAAAATTTTGGACAGTAATACCCTTAATTTGAAATTAATTTACAAGAACCTATCATTACAATTTTACCTCTAATTAATTAAGTTTTTAGGCAGTAATGTCCTTGTATTTAGAATAAATTGCAAGTCATTTAAAACAAATTGCAGGTCACCCAAGACCACCACTGTCCGCCAGCAACCATTTCCAGACACCAACCATCGACCATCGCTATTGCCATCAACGGCCACCACCAGACGACAAGACTCTAATGATGCGCAACTGGCTAGATCTTGTCAGTCGTGTGCCGATTTGGCCAGAAACGACCAAATCCACCATAGATTGGCTAGAAGCAGCTAGAGATCTGGTCGGCGTCAACGACTAGATTATGGTTGTAGATCTGGCCGGAAACAGCCATATCGATGCACAATCACCAAATCCAGTCGGTTGCATCGTTTCGATGACTGTCAGCCGTGGCTTAGGGTGGATGGGAGTGATTTTGTCAGAAATTAAACTTTTATGTAATTGGGAAGTTTTGGCAAAAGCTCAAATATAGGGGGTTCAAAAGAAATGATTCAAAAAATAATAATAAAAAAATATTTTATTAATATTTAAAAACGGGGGGCAATTTAGTAATCTATATAATATACTCACCAATTTATTCCTCCAGACCAAATATATCAATATAACATACTCACCAATTTATTTCAATCTAATTGGACTTGGCAAAACGAGTGGGTCGGGTGGGTATGGGCCAAAACATATTGATTTTATACAGGTCACATATTTTGGACCCGTACCCTACCATATGTGGGTACCGAGTCGACCCGCGGGTATCTGTTTTTTCTCACTCCAATTTTCAAATTTTGCAGTTACACCCCCACAATTTCTATTGTTTTCATTTTTTGCAGTTAGATACGCGTCATCAACTGACTCAGTTCCCAATTATGGAAAGGTTTGATTCCAATTTAACCTTCAAATTTTTGGAGGGTTGTGCTATACAGAAAGCTTGCAGATTTCTTAAATCAGGACCGTTGAATCACCTAAACAGAAGCATTACATGAATTACGAACTTGATCGAACGGTTGGGGATGCGCCAGGGAGTTGGATTGACCGTTGTTTTTTTATTTTCAAAAAAGGCTGACAACCTTCGTTTGTATATTAGTTAACAATAAAACTATGCTTACTCATCATCTTACTAACCATCTTACTATCCTTTGTAAATATAATGCATAGTATCCATACTATGCGTATAGTACCCGTATTATGCGTAAAGATGGTAAAATGGTTAGTAAGATAGTGAGTAAGCATAGCATTACTCGTTAATTTAATGTGTTTGTTGTACTTGATTTCATTATTTCGCCATAGCTGTTTTCTCCAAGGTGGTGACAGCACAAGAATTTTGACCTTGGATTACGTCTAGTTGCTCCAAAATCCAAATCACTTCTTCTTGGGAAGATGAAAGTAATATTTCTTCCTTTTGTTATTTTAAAAGTACTTTATGTTTCTATAAACAGATCCTACGAGATTTAATAAGAGATTTACAGATCAAGGTGGGGCGTGATATTGTCAAAATATATACTATTCAATGTACATAGAAATTGGAAGAAAACAAATTGTAATGCAAGGTTTCGTTGATGCAATGATGATCGCGTGATTAGCATATGCGATAGTTGAAGGTTGAGGGCCTACCGTCTGATTCAAAGAATATATTGAAACAGTAAGAAATGAGTGAGCGTCAGGTTGGTAAAGGAAATAATATACTTGGTAGCCAAATATTGATCGCTGAAGAATTGTAGGTTTTAGGTAGAGCATTGTTGCTAGTTGGCTTTGCGTTTTTTTGAAGTGGGATTTTTTTTTTTTTTTTTTTTTTTTTTTTTGTTTCAAAATATGAGTACTCTTAGGTATACCTAGACTTGGGCATTTGGGACCGGTCCCAAAAAAGGGGCTAAAAAAACGGGTCCAAGGATCGATCCTATGAGGCCTAGTCCCAAACCCGAACTAGGCCCATGGAGGAGGGACCAGTCCCTAGATCGGGCCCTCCTCCAAGGTCGATCCTAGGCCCGACCCAAATCCCTTTGTATTTTTTCAAAAAATGTCCTCTAAAAAATATCTAAAAAGCCCCTATAATTTTGAAATTGATAAAAATATTGAGGGTTAAATTGATATTTTACAAAATTTACTAATCCCAGGTGTGCAAAAAATTTTCTAGGCCCCTAAAAATTACATAAACCCCTCTATATAATTTTTTTAACCCCTTAAATATAAAAAAAGTTGGGGTGGAACAAAATTTTCCAGGCCTTTAGGACTGGTCCTATGGGCCCAGGATCGGTCCTAGGGACCAGTCTAGGCCATGAAATTTCTCATGGGTCCCAGGCCCATGAGTGAGTAGTCCTAAATGGGACCAGTCCTAATCGGGCCCAGACTCAGACCTGGTTAAGACCGGTCCTTGCCCAAGTCTAGGTATACCTGGCCCAACCGTTTTAAAAATGGATAGGGTCAGGTACAGGTCACATGAAAACGGGTCCTAAAATGCCTATCCATACCCGTTTTCAAAATAGGTGCCCGCAGGTATAGACCCATTTTGCCAGGTCTAAATCTAACCAAACACATTTTCCTAAACATTCCTAGTAATTTTCAAGGTGTGTTTGGTTTAGAGAATGTTATATTAATGGAAAGATAGATTACCAAGAAGATTATTAGGATGTTTAGGGAAATGTGTTTGGTTGGTTGAAATAAATTGATGGATATGTTATATAAATTACTAAAGTGTCCTCATTTTTATATATTAATATATTATTATTTTTTGAATAATTTTTTTAACCCCCTACATTTCAAATTTAGCTAAAACACTCCAGCAACAAAAAAGTTTAAGACTTAACAAAAACACCTCCACCCACCCCAAGCCACTTCCGATGCTGATAGTGGAGATCTAGCCGTGAAATGACGGCCGTTTCATGGTCAAATATCTAGCCTTTCACGGCCACATCTTTGGCCATGAAACGACCATAAATCTGGTCGTGAAAGGCCAAATATGGCTATTTTCGGCCATGGATTTGCCAGAAACAATCTTAGCGGCACACGGCCGGCCAAATCCGATCGGTTGTGTGCCATTCTATCGCTGGCGACTGGTGGTGGTGGCCGGATTGGGTAATTTTTTTAAATTTCAAGGGTATTTATGTCCTAAAAACTTTGTATATAAGGATAAAATTGTCAATTAGTATTTTTGTAAATTGTTTTTAAAACAAGGGCATTATTGTCTTAAATTTTTATTAATAAGGGATAAAATTGTAACAAAAATAAGATTACCAAGTAATCTTAAAATACTTAAGAAAATGAAGGTAATCAGATTACCTCCTATATTACCAATAGTAACTACTATTGGTTTTGAAAGATTATCATAATCTTATATTACTTGACAACCAAACGTGATAATTAAATAATATAAGATGACATCACCTCAGTAATCTCTTATTACCCCCAACCAAACACACTCTCAAGGTAATCTATCTTTCCATTAATATAACATTCCCATAATACAACATTCCATAAACCAAATGCACTCTTATATCATTAAGATATGTTAAACCAACGTATCTTTCATCAATTCTCATATGACAGGGTTTATTTTATTTTCTAAGACAGCTTACATTTAAATTCATCTCTTTTGTTCAAAAAATATTAAAATACTCTTTTTAGAGGTTTTTTTTCTTCATAATTTTATAAAAGAATATTTGATATTTCAAAGGCATTTTTGAATTATAAGAATTTTTTTTAAATAATTTTGTACCGTATGATATTTTTAAGAGGTTTTCTGTTTTCATAATTTTTAGGAAAAATTAATATTTTCTAAACAAAGTGAATGACTTTATTTCTAAGGGATGGTATAGGAGGAAATATAAACACTAAGAAAATGAATAAATAAAAGGGGTTATCTGTACTTTTATCCTTAAGGTTTGAAGTATATTACACTACTGTGAGATACAAACAGTTTAGTCCGGTCAGGTTAGATTTTTCAATAAAAAAGTTTATAACACCCTTCTTGTTTTATTCACATATTGTTAGGAATGAATCAAATATAAAAAAATAAAATGTTTGGATTTTTAAATTTTTTATATTGTTCACTAGAGTTTTAGTTTTAATATCTTTTGTATTTATAATTGTGATGAGTAATACTTAGATGATATTTTCATAAATGTGAAATTAAGCAAGTTTTATAATATACTAAAAGTGGTTCATATTATATTTCAATAATGTTATGTTTACACACGAATTTACTAACCATTTTACTCACCTTTGTTAAAATTACATATGGTATCCATACTATGAGTAATAGTATCCGTACTATGCGTTATATTTACAAATGTTAGTAAAATGGTTAGTAAGTTCGTGAGTAAACATAACATTATTGATTATATTTAGATAACAATCATTACTTTTGTGAAAAATTAACATTTCTTGGAAGTGTATCGTACACTTTTTTTTATTTTTTTTATATTTTATTAATTTCTATTAATATGTGAATAAAATAACAAGGGCATTATAGATATTTTATTAAAAAGTTTCATTTTACAGGAAGTAAATATACTCTAAACTTATGGACAAAAGTGTAAAATTAAAAGACTAAACTAACAGGGCCCTGGATTTTTGCAAGGTTTATAGTAATGTTCTGAAAAGCAGACCGGACTGACTATTGATCAGTGTCCTCTCCGGTCTGAATTTCCAATTTTACTGTTCACACAAATCCCTAATTTTACATTCGACGAACAAGGGGCTACCAAGTGCTAAGGTTAGAAAGCTTTTGTAGAGAGGAGGCCAGTGGTTCAAAGGGTGGTGTCGGATTTAATTTTGGTCTTCAAAATTTTGCCGGAAAAATCAACCCAATACGCGAGTCATGGTTGGTGAACAGGGGGCTACCAAGTGTCGAGGTTAGATCGATTTTGTAGATTGGAGGTTGGTGGTTCAGGTGGTAGTGTTGGATTGAATTTTTGATGTCGAAATTATCTGAATTTTTTTGGGAAAAATCAACCCAATCGTAGTGGTGTTCGTGAGTCATAGCCGGCAAACAAGGTGCTACCAAATTTCGGGGTTACTGGAGGGCGATGGTTCAGGTGGTGGTGTCGAAATGAATTTTGGCAGTCCAAATAAGCTGAAATTTGGTCAGAAAAGTCAAAACCCAAAAAAATCATAGGGGTGTATTTGCTAATTTTAAACTTATAGGGACTGAAAAAGTTTTTAAGGGTCAAAAAAAAAAAAGTTTAAATTAAAAAAAAAAATGAAAGAAAAGCAACCCCGTAATTAATGTGTTTCATATGAGCTTTATGTACACTGCATTGCCCGGTCTGGAACTTGTAGCTGACACAACTCCGCATTTTAAATTACTTCCTTTAGAGCATCTCGACCCAAAAACTTGGGAAATTAATACATTTGTATAAATCATCATCACAGGCTCCAAAATTTCCAAGTCTCGAACCAAACTTTTTCCTGTGGTGGTAATTCTCAGGCAGAAGCTTTTGTGGTGCTCCACAAGGAACACTTACACAATTTAGGAAGCCACCTTCCTCCATCGCAAGCTTATCCATTTCACCTTCAACCTATGCTCAGCATCAAATCATAAAAATCAGTAGAGAAAGAGATTAAATTATTGAGTAAAAGAAGCAGAAGAATGATTTGGTGGTATTTACAATGATGATTTCGGCAACTTCCTTTATATCATCAAGTCCAAATAACCATTTCTCTGTGCTCCTCTCCTAAAATGAAAGCAACAATCCAACAAGAAAATCAGACTACAATGCAGCTACACTTGATTATAGATTGACAAAACAGGAATGACAGGTACTGAAACTGCACTTTTATGTACTATGAAAAAATTCACTATCCCCACACAACAAATGAAAGAAATTGTCTCCTTAAGCATAGGACTAAAGAACTTAAACTGAAACCATAGGCAAGAACTCGACATGTAAAATGGGCTGTGCCGACCCATTTTTTCCATATTACTATTCTTACTGGAACTAGGAGTGATCTTAGGATATTGTTTGTGGATAATTCACAGTGCAGTGAGAGAATCCATCAATCTAGGACTTGGGAGTCAGTTACCATGTGATCTTAATTACCTCTCTGGAATTTCTTTTCTAAAAGCCAAAACTAATTAATTATAGCATTTTATGTGGCTGTGCTATATCAAATATTTCCCACTTATATCTCTGCCATTCCATTGGTATATCAAACTATATTTACCCATTCAACAATCCAAGGACAGGATTAGCACAAATACCTGCCAAAATTTTTTCTCCTCCCGGCAGGTTCAGCACTTGCAACCAACGAGCACCCCATTTTGTCTAAAAGGAAAAAGCTATGACAGCCTGTTTACAAAATTTTTATTAGTGGTTAGAAAGCAAACTCAAGATGAGGGAAAGAATCATCATACATGTAGATATCTTATCTGAGGTTCACAGCGCTCGCCATGTGCATAGTTGAGAATAAAAATGTTCAGATAATCCACAATCAACAAGTCAAATAAGCTAACAAGACCTGAATCTATAAATATTGTGGAGAAATATTTTCTTGTATTTCATAATGAGATATACAATGAATTTATAGCAAAAACAAAAAAAACTAATCTAGGAAGTAATCTAGGAAGTAAATTGTTACATTCCTATTATAATTCTATTTCCTATTCCTATTATAATTCTATTTCCTATTCCTATTATAATTCTATTTCCTATATTACAATGAGAATAATTCTATTTCCTATATTACAAAGAGAATAATTCTATTTCCTATTTTACATTTCAACATATGAATTGCTAGATGTACTATATTACACTGATAAGTAAATATAGCCAAAAACTCAACAGATTAATCAAAACCAGGGGACAAAGAAAAACTAGTGCAATACGTCAACAACTGCTAACATCCACATGCAAATGGGAATAGAAAGGAGACTGAATGCAGTAAGGAGTAAGGTTAAATAACTCTTACAAACTTAGTTGATCAAATCCATAGTAAATCATATCGTGACATACCCTAACAATTCTAGATTGGAACAATTGATCCCAAATGTGAATCCATTTTCATATCCGAATGATACTTTCAAAGGAGTTTAAAAAGCTACTTCAACAAGAATCTATCTTGCCCACTAGTTGCAATCATTTCCTACACCTTGGCTTCTGCCACAATCACATGGCCAACTAGCTACAAATGAGAATTAGCCCTTTTAACAGGGGAAAAGCTTACTCAATCAAATAAATGATAGCAAGATACATTAATCTTGTGCTTGTCAAATTTTATGGCTGAACTAATTAGACTGAGAACCAATCTTGCAAAAGGGATTCATAGTACCTGATATTAGATTAGGGTTGTTTCAATGCATTTTACTTCAACAAGAATTCCAATAAACTTTTTCCTGACTATAATCTATTTTCAGTCATCCATGGTATCATTCTAAAAATTGTTCAACCTCAAAATTACTTTTTATAATATAAATGATAAGAATTATATCAAAAGATTAATGATAAGAACTAAGTCGCTGCAGTTGAAAAGGAACCTGATCAGCAGATAACTGCATAACAGAATTTCTCTGGAGAGTTCCCTCAGATATCATCCGCTTGGCAAAATATGCAATAGCTGAAACAAAGACAGAATATAAATTCTGAATCATTATCAAGCTCAACGAATAAGGACTCTCAATTAATAGGATTTAGACTCTCGCAAGACATAATTTGGCAATTCCTCAAATATAGTATAATTCAACAAAGAAAGAAAGAAACTCATAAAAATCAAAAGAAATATAAGAAGAGAAGTCAGCATACATGCCTTGTCACCCAGTGGTTCTAATCCTAAGCTCTTTTCTGTCATTTGTTCTGATGTTATAACTTTTCTATTGTTGTTGCTGTCTGCAAAGGCCTACAACCGAAGTTATCAATTGACCAAGAAATAGCATACACCAAATTTAGGTCAGACAAACGCTCATTACAATCTTACAAGCAGGAATTGCATTTGGATTTATGAAATGGTTTAGCATATGAATTATGAACTTATAAGAAGGAAAACTTGAAATGTAAGGTTAAGAGCTTTTAACTTGTCATTTTGATAGTCAAAAGCAGAAGTACTTCAACAAGAAGCAGAAGTATTTCTACAAGAAGGGATTACCTGGCCTGCCCATCCACAATTAGCTCGAAAACACCTCCACATTGCAAAATCCCTACAACAAGTGAAATCCAACCCAGTCGACCACCACTCACAAAAGATTCTACACAAAAAAATCAAATTATTATTTTTAAAGGCAGCTTTCTGCTTACCCATCTTGGATTATATGAAGAGACAAACTTCTCTTCATCGACTGACCTCCTTTACACTAAAGCCAGAGAACCATTCAATATTCAAACCAAAAAACAAGAACAACAACATATAAAGATAACAATGAAGCTACAAGAAACACACACCTGTGGACAAAACAAGCGATTATACTGTCCAGCAATACAAGAATCGTTGCCAATTATCCGAACAAGCTCCAATTTCTGCTTTACTTCTCAAGTTTCAAATTACTATCAATGCCTCTCACCTTTTCTGTGAGCTCCACCTTATTATCTTATAAAACAAGAAGAACCCATCAAATTTGCGAAGTAATGAGAGCAAATAATGCATAATTTTGGGGAAAAGGAATTACCGGGGACGTGGGCTTGGCGAGACCAAACAGGGTTTAATCTTCTTCTGAGTAATGTTGGGAATGAAAAGTAACACCTGTGAATTATACCAAAGGGCATGTTTATTTTGTTTTACTGAGTTTGAAGCTTCAGCCTTTAACTCTTCTCTATCATATGAAAATGAGGAAGCTGTTTAGGAGATATGAATTGGTATGGTAATTTTGTGTTGTTATTGCCTCCGTAGTTTCTGTTAGCTCAAATTGGCCGCTCTGCAACCACATGCTATGGCCCTAATGTCCGAAACTTTGCATTTTGATCCCTTTGGATAAGTCAATGGAGAAAGAGGAGAGGACAAAATGGACATTTCAAAACGAAATAGAAATTTCTTAAATTAATTAAAAAGTGAAAATTTTCTGAATTGAAAAAAAAATCAAAATTTTAGAAACTTCTAAATTAAAACCAATTATATAATTCAAAACTTAAAAAGAAAAAAGAAAAAATACAATACCAAAAAAATAGAAACAAAACTCCTAACCTTTCACAACAATTTTAAAGTTTTTATTTTTTAAATTTACAAAAATTAAACATATATATTTAAAGTTGTTAAATTCTCCTGATTATAGAGATTGTAAAAAAATTAATAATAATCATGTATTCTGATAATTCTCCTGGTTCCCCTGTTTAATTGTGCAGAGAAGTCCTCCGCCTCTTTACCATATTTGTCTATGGCAATCATTAATTACAGGTGATAATTAATATATTAATGATTCTATGAATGGAATTAAAGATTGATGAATTTAGAAACAACAAAAGCTTTACCTGAATGAAAAGTAATTAAAATTTCAGTCTTTTGGGTTGTGGTTCCTCCTCCATGTTTGAGCTGAAATCCCCTTTATGTTGTTTCACTTGTTCTTCAGAACAGCGGGGGTGATCATCTTCATCTTCATCTTCCTCTTCCTCTATATAAAGCCCACACTTCACCACATTGTAATATTTTCCACTGAAATCAAAAGTAAGATAACGGTCTTTTTCGCCTAGGAAACGTGGCAGAATACTCCACACCGTTACATAAGACTGTTGTTTTCAAATCTTGTAAACCCCAGCGTCACACAATTTTCATGGAGTGTCTTACCATTTTCATCTATGCCAATCACCTTATAACAAAAATCCAAATATTGGGGAGCTTTGTTTTGGTCTTGAGATGTTACAACAAGGCACACTTTCAAACCAAGGAAGCGTTTCGGAGGAGGTAGTGGTGGCATCTCGAGAGTTATAGAAGATCCCACATTTTGGAAGCTGAACAACTCTTGAATTTCATTTCCAGGATAGAGGAACTGACGGAGCGATCGCCATTTGAACATATCACATTGTTGCTGTACAAAAAGAATATTTAACAGCATATGTTAAAAGTATAAAATAAAAAACATTGATCATTTAAGGAAATCTAGAGAATGGAAGTCATACCTGTCCCAAATTGGCTTTTAGCATATTCTGATCCAGTTTTAAACAGTTAGCAAAGTTGGCCGCGATCACCCGCGAGGATAAATCAAAATCACATGACTCCAATGATATACAATTGTATGCTTCAATAAGCAGAGCGCTTAATGGTAAGCATTTAAGCCTCTCACAATAGCTTACGTCTAGAGAGCCCAATTTAAGTTGTTTGAGGCTTGGTGGTATCCATTCAATATTGTTTCTGCTTAGATTTAAACTGTTTAGAGAGTAAAACTTATCAAGAGTGTAGGGTAACCCCAAGATTCCCCAATTGTATGAATCGAACTCACTTAGAGACATCAAACTTTTTACAAGAGGACATCGTAAACCCCTCACATCTTGACCCATATATTCGCTCAAGCATAATGCATAAAGTTTACTCAATTTTTCTAACAGCTGAGGCCAATTATGGAGTTTTGAGCAACCCCTGAGATTAAGCACCGCATAAAACCAGAAACAGTTACCATGATACGAACATCTTGGTCTTGGTGGATTTTCAATCAAGGACAACTCTGTTATAGATGTTCCATCAAAACATACATTCTCCATGCTATGTGTGATCTTTGGAGCCTTCTTGAGATTTGAGCAACTAGAGAGAATGAGATATCTAAGAAATTTTGATTGAATGTTGGCGGGAAGACTGTTAAGGCTTTTGCAACCTTTAAGATTTAAGATAACCAGCTTATTTAGATATTGAATTGATGAATGAACCTCAATCAAACTTGTACAACCTTGTAGAGTCAAACTCTCAAGATTTGGGGCTAATGAGAGATCTGGAATTCTAATTAGGTGCTTGGAGTGGATGAGGTTGATATGCTTCAACTTTTCTAAATGCTGCAAACAATAAATTAAGGAGATGAGGAAGTGACATAAATTATATGATGAGCCTTATGATTTTCTACACAAACAGAATATGAAGATAAATATTTATACCTGGAGACCATTCCAGAGTTGTTTAATTTTGCTCCACGGCATGATAAGTGCAAAAAGATTTTCTACCTCAAAATTTGATGGCAATGAATCCAAAGGATATCCAAACCAGCGAAAGAACCTTATGTTACATGGACTGAATTCTAGGCCCTGCAAAGCATGCACCTTATTCACATTCTCTTCATCCACTGTGCAATATTCACAACAATCACAAGTCTGACCATGTGTGACTAAGCAATACATGCAATCAAAATGCCAGAGTCTCTTGAAACCACTTTGCTTTATCTTGTCCGGGAAATAAAAGTCCAAGAATCTGAGGTTGTCCATCTTCAAGAAAGCATTGCGCTTCAAGTTTATCTCTTTTATTTTAGAAACATCCAAGGAGATGCATTCAAGTGCTTTACTTCCCTAACAATCAGACGAGACAGTAAATTAGTATCTTAAATAAATGTCAAAATCTACTATTATAACACATAGTTTTAAAATTAAATTCTAATTTTTTTTTCTCGGATTTCTTTTTTGTAAAATTCAAATGTACACAAAATTATACCAAAGGGCATGTTTATTTTGTTTTACTGAGTTTGAAGCTTCAGCCTTTAACTCTTCTCTATCATATGAAAATGAGGAAGCTGTTTAGGAGATATGAATTGGTATGGTAATTTTGTGTTGTTATTGTCTCCGTAGTTTGTTTGTTAGCTCAAATTGGCCGCTCTGCAACCACATGCTATGGCTGAGCTATGGCCGCTAAAAAATAAATAACAAATAACATTTAAACCACCATAAATTATGAATCAAATCAAGCGCCCTAATGTCCGAAACTTTGCATTTTGATCCCTTTGGAATTTGGATAAGTCAATGGAGAAACAGGAGAGGACAAAATGGACATTTCAAAACGAAATAGAAATTTCTTAAATTAATTAAAAAGTGAAAATTTTCTGAATTGAAAAAAAAAATCAAAATTTTAGAAACTTCTAAATTAAAACCAATTATATAACTCAAAACTTAAAAAGAAAAAAGAAACAATACAATACCAAAAAAATAGAAACAAAACTCCTAACCTTTCACAACAATTTTAAAGTTTTTATTTTTTAAATTTACAGAAATTAAACATATATATTTAAAGTTGTTAAATTCTCCTGATTATAGAGATTGTAAAAAAATTAATAATAATAAATTAATGATTCTACGAATGGAATTAAAGATTGATGAATTCAGAAACAACAAAAGCTTTACCTGAATGAAAAGTAACTAAAATTTCAGTCTTTTGGGTTGTGGTCCCTCTTCCATGTTTGAGCTGAAATCTCCCTTATGTTGTTTCACTTGTTCTTTAGAACGGCGGCGGTGATAATCTATACGAAGCCCACACTTCACCACATTGTAAGATTTTCCACTGAAATCAAAAGTAAGATAACAGGTTTTTTCGCACCAGAAACATTGTAAAATATTCGATACCATTACATGATCTGACATAAGACTGTTGTCTTTAAATCTTGTCATCCCCATCCCCATCCCCAGCGTCCTACCATTTTTACGGAGTGTCTTACCATGTTCATCCATGGTAATCACCTTATAACGAAAATCCAAATATTGGGGAGCTTTGTTATGGTCTTGAGATGTTACAACAAGGCACACTTTCAAACCAGGGTAGACATGCGGAGGATGTGGTGGTGGCACCTCGAGAGTTATAGAAGATCCCACATTTTGGAAGCTGAACCACTCTGGAATTTCATTTCCAGGAAAGAGAAAACGATTGAGCGGTCCCAGATGGAACATCCCACATTGTTTCTGCACAAAAAGAATATTTACCAGCATATGTTAAAATATAAAATAAAAAACATCGATCATTTAAGGAAAGCTAGAGAATGGAAGTCATACCCGGACATTCTCATCCAGTTTTAAACAGTTACCAAAGTTGGCATCCTTCACCGAGGATAAATCAAAATCACATGACTCCAATGATATACAATTGTATGCTTCAACAATCATAGCGCTTACTGGTAAGCATTTAAGCCTCTCACAATAGCTTATGTCTAGCTTCTGCAAGTTAAGTTGTTTGAAGCTTGATGGTATCCATTCAAAGTTGTTTCTGCTTAGATTTAACTTCATTAGAGAAACAAAATTACCACTAGTGTAAGGTAAACTCATGATTTGACAATGAGATAAATTTAAGACAGGTAGAAAGCTCAAATCTATTAAAAGAGGCCATTCTGACTTCACAATCCTATATCCGCTCAAGGACAATTCATAAAGTCCCGTCAGAGTCTTTAACTCACAAATGTTGCTTGGGAGACTTTCAAGTCTTGGACAGTCATCAAGATACAACCATCTTAGTCTTGCTGGATTTTCAATCAAGGGCAACTCTGTTATAGATGTTCCATCAAAATATACGTACTCCATGTTACATTTGATCTTTGGAGCCTTCTTGAGATTTGAGCAACCAGAGAGAATGAGAACTGTAAGAAATTTTGATTGCATGTTGGCGGGAAGACTGTTAAGGCTTTTGCAACCTTTAAGATTCAGGATAACCAGCTTATTTAGATATTGAATTGATGAATGAACCTCAATCAAACTTGTACAACCTTGTAGAATCAAAATCTCAAGATTTGGGGCTAATGAGAGATCTGGAATTCTAATTAGGTGCTTGGAGTTGATGAGGTTGATATGCTTCAACTTTTCTAAATGCTGCAAATAATAAATTAAGGAGATGAGGAATTGACATAAATTATATGATGAGCCTTATGATTTTCTACACAAACAGAATATGAAGATAAATATTTATACCTGGAGACCATTCCAGAGTTGTTTAATTTTGCTCCACGGCATGATAAGTGCAAAAAGATTTTCCACCTCAAAATTTGATGGCAATGAATCCAAAGGATATCCAAACCAGCGAAAGAACCTTATGTTACATGGACCGAATTCTAGGCCTTGCAATGCATGCACCTTATTCACATTCTCTTTATCCACTGTGCAATATTCACAAGTCTCTCCATCCTCTAAGCAACACACGCAAAAAAAACGCCACCTCCTGAAACCACTTCCATTTATCTCTGAGTAATAAAAGTCCAAGAATCTGAGGTTTTTCATCTTCAAGAAAGCATTGCACTTCAAGTTTATCTCTTTTATTTTAGAAACATCCAAGGAGATGCATTCAATTGCTTTACTTCCCTAACAATCAGACGAGACAGTAAATTAGTATCTTAAATAAATGTCAAAATCTACTATTATAACACATAGTTTTAAAATAAAATTCTAATTTTTTTTTCTCGGATTTCTTTTTTGTAAAATTCAAATGTAGACATGCCCCAAATCTAATTTAACCCTTTGTGGCAGAACTAATAAATTAGCAAAAATATAGAATGTGAACGTACATGATGCATGACAATTAAAAATTAATAATAATAAATGGATGATGTTATCCAATTTATAATAATATAGAAAAATTAATCACTCAATAACTCACCGTGTTTTTTGTTAACACATCATAGATATCATCAAGACGCCATAATCTAGTGCGTTTACCTGGTTCTTTAGATTCTTGCTGGACAATTTTCTCTCCCATTTGTTGTAACAAATCATGCACTTCTATGTGATTTCTATAATACATAGTACTTATAAGAGACTTGTCAATGAGATTGCATACTCCTATTTTGGGATCACAATCGCGATCATCAAGGATTTCCGTTGCAATACATCTATCACCTCTTTTAAAAATGCATGCAATATCTAGAAATATATTTTTCTCTTGATCATCAAGTCCATTGTAACTTATTTTCAGCACATCTTGGATCTCTGGATTTGGATTTGGATTTTTTTCTAGGTTAGTCAATGTACTTTCCCAGCAAAATTTTTCCCTCTCAAATAGCGAAGAACCCAAAACTTTAAGAGCTAATGGAACACCTTGAGCAAATTTTATTACTCCTTTTGATAGCTTCAAGTAATCTATAGGGGGATGATCCAGTTTAAATGCATGACGACTAAAAAGTAAAAGAGATTCATCAGATGGTAATTCCTCAACTTTATATATGTTACCATGACTTACTCCACAAGTTTTAAGCACTTGTTTATCTCTTCCAGTAATAATGACTCGACTTCCAGGACCCAAACATTTAATATCTCCAATTAACTTTTGTATTTGCTCTGAACATATCACATCATCAAAAACAATAAGAACTTTCTTATTGTGAAACCTGCTTTTGGTGAAGGTGGACTCTAAAACAGCCCATCGATCTTCTAATATTGCAGAAAGAAGTTCTTCGCCCAAACAAATTGATCCAATCTTTTCTGACTTGTCCTTGACATCTTGAAAGAGGACACTCTCAAATTGACTTGAGATTTTGGTGAATAATGCACGAGCAAGAGTTGTCTTGCCTATACCACCCATTCCCCAAATCCCAACACTCCTGCAAACATCTTTTAACTCAAGACGTAATAGCGATTCAAGTTTCTCTATTTTTGATTCTATCCCAACAAGGTCCTTGTTTTCACTCGGGGACATTTTATTCAGTTCTTTCAATATTTTGTTGACAATTTCCCTTATCAACACAGCTTCAGACCTAACAAAATATAAAACACTTTAGTAAGTTTAATTAAATCAAAATAGAAACAACAATGGGTGCGTTTAGTTTATTATTTTGGATAGAATTTTGGGGATAGTATTGGATAATTGAATATGGGAGTATTACGAGGTAAAATTTAAAAATTTATAAAATAACCCCCTAAGTTTGCTAATTTAATAATACCTCAACATGTAAAATGACAAAAATACCCCCACCACCTACAGTGCCAGATTCCAGCCACCACCACCGGAATCTGGCCGGAAAATCGCGTTACGACATAGACCGGTCGGATCTATGTTATAACACGTTGTTATGGCCTTTTCCGGCCAGATCCACCACGGATATGACTGGAAAAGGCCAGATCTAAGGCCTGACTTGGCCGTCGATGGCTGAAAAAGGCCAAAACGACAGTCATCTTTGTCTGTCAGCGACGGCCAAAGATATGGCCGTCGTTTTCGATCAACGATGGCCAAGATTTGGCCGTCGTTGACCTCAACGACGACCATTTCTTTGGCCGTTGTTCACGGCCAGATCGGTAAACTTTCGACAATTTTTGGTCGTTAGGTAGGCCGTTGTACGGTTTCCGGCTTTTACCAACGGTGGTTGCCAGAATCTGGCAAGTATGGGTCACAGGGGTGTTTTTGATAATTTTTAAACTTTTTTTCATGGTGTTTGATGAAATTAATAACCTTATGGGATCTAAAAGTAATTAAAAAATAGAGTAATATTTCTGGAATAATGTGCCAAACATTATTTAGAGAATATGATTGGGAATAAGGATAAAAATAATAAGCCAAACATGGCCAATGCTTTTTAATTACAATATCTATGCAAACAAAGCGTTTGAATTAAGAGAAAACAACATAATGGATACATTCCATAACAGTTACCTAACGTTAATCTAATAATCTCCCATTGAAAGAACCATAACAAAAAGTAAAATTCATAGTTTTGTATTTTTGTTTAGCTCATAAGAATGTCCGGTTCAACTCAATTACCACATACTCAATACTAGTTTAACACAACATTTATCCGTAATTAAATTTATTAAAATAAAATATAAACCGATTTCATTTTATTATTTTTTTTTAAACATTTTGAGTCCCCCATTAATTGTATCCTTCCCAGATATATACATATATAAATATTAAATAATCTACCATATCTTAAAATTCATGTACTTTAATTTTCTTAAATATTATAGAATTTATTTTTTCACATTTAAATATTTTACAAGATTTTTTCATTAATGACCCATATTAAATATCTAAATACTAGTGATATTTTTTTGACAGTTTTATATATAATAAATAAATTTCTTTTCACCAAATAAAGAAGAGAAGTCTTCATCCATTGAACAAAATTAAATATTTTACAAAAAAGTAATTGTAGTTGGGAAATTCAATTAACGTATAATTACCTAATGTTACTTGAATCAAATCCGGACAGATTAGCTGCTTCATTCAAAGCATTCCTCCATCTCATCACCTTCTCTGAGCTCTGCTTTTCTTCATGGTTCACAAATGCTTCTCCAAACGTTCCAGTTTGATTCCTTACATCTGATGGATCCACGTGATAGAAAACTGGCACTACCATCAGATCTCTCGTTTTCTTGCATTCAATGATCTTTGCAAGTTCTTCAAGACACCATCTAGATGTGGCATAACCTTTCGAGAAGACAATAACTGCGATCATTGATTCTTCGATCGCATTCAAAAGTGCTTCTGAAATTTCATCTCCTTTATCAAGCTTATCATCGTCTATGAAAGTGTTGATATTCTTTGAACACAGAGCTGCATAGAGATGGCTTGTAAAGTTGTCACGTGTATCCTCACCTCTAAAGCTAAGAAAAACATGATATTTTTTAGAAACTCTGGAAGAAGAAGAAGAAGAAGAAGATGATGATGAAGCCATTATTACACTTCACACTTGATGAAAGACTACTTAGAGAAGAGATAGTTTTGAACTCTGCGTATGTAAGTAATGCACAGAATTTTAAAATTATATAACCAAGACAGTGATATGCTTGCGTAATTCAATGAACCTTCCACGAAGTTTTGTGCAAATTTCGAGTAATTTCTTCAAGGAGAAAGGAATATGCCAAATTTCCTTGAAATTTCTTTGTGTACGAAAAGCTGATTCACACTTTAAATTTTTGACTGAAAAGAAGGACCCGTGTCTCCTACTCTGTTATTAACATACGCTTTTATGTATTTAATTTTTTGACTGAAAAGAAGGACCAGTTCCCGGAAGGTGCACTCTTGTTGACTTAGATAAATTGGCAAAATCTTTCATCATCTTTCAGAAAGTTGGCTACTAATTAAATGAAAAGAAAATATCATCTCCAATCGTTTAATTTGTAAATTATTTAACATATGAAAATAAAATTTCTTTCTCCATTAAATTGAACCTCATTAACAATTTAATAAATATTGAGGCATGAAAATTTAACATGTATACACCAAGTAAACTAGGTAAAAAAAATAAAATTTGATTAAAGAAACAGGCTTAGAAACACGTTCAAAAGAATCAATTATATAACCAAATAATTTTATATAATTTTTTTTATTTTCTCTTTTTATTCCATTTCCTCCAAGGTAGGTTCCTTTGTAAAAAGATGATTAAATAGTCAAATGGCACTTAAATTTTTGACTTTTGATAAATATTAATTGGCACCAAAAGCTTAATGTGCTTGCTGCTTGCCTACTTTGATGAACCTTCTGAGTAGTTTAATATATAATTATTTTGTTCTTAACTTGTGCATGATGAGAGTTAAGAAATGTTACAAGGCAAATAATAAAATTTGGGTTTATTCTTAACAAAGCTGGAGAGTTAAGCTTGCTGTAGTAGCTTATGTATAATGTCATCAAATACTTATTCTTTTAGAGGAAAAAAATTATTAAAAAAAATGATAGAAGATTGCATAAATTACAAGATAATCAATTTCGATCTCTTTTAATTAAAAAAAAAGTCCTAAATCCACAAAGAATTTTCTTCACAAAATCTTTTAACATTCAAAAGTCTTTCATTTTCTTCCAATTGAGTGAGAAGGAACTAAGAATGCTTTTCAAAATTAATATTCATAAGTATATTAATTGTAAATTAAAATGACTATGTTATAGATTTTAATAATTTTTATCTTACATGAACAGAAAATATGATTCCTTGTTCCTCTTTTTATGTACAAAAGTCCTTCATTGAAGCTTCCAAGAAGTTTTGTTCAAAATTTGAGTAATTTCTTCAAGGAGAAGGAATATGCCAAATTTCCTTGAAATTTCTTTGTGTCCGAAAAGCTGATTGAGTAGTTCAATCACACTTTAATTTTTTGACTAAAAGGAAGGACATGTGTCTCTTGCTCTATTATTAACATACACTTTCATGTAATTATTAAAAATCAAAAAAAGAGTGTATATCCCATTTCCCGGAGGGTGCACTCTTGTTGACTTAAAAGTCTTCTAAGTCTTTCATCATCTTCCAGGAAGTAGGCTACTAATTGAATGAAAAGAAAATATTTTCTCCAATAATTTAATTTGTAAATTATTTTACATATGAGAAGAAAATCTCTTTCTCCATTAAATTGAACCTCATTAGCAATTTAATAAATATTGAGGTATTAAAATTTAACAAAATAAACTAGGGTTTTAAAAAAAAAAAACCAAAATTTTGATTAGAGAAACGGGTTCAAAAACACATTTAGAAGAATCAATTATATAATAAAATATGGGGTTTCAGCAAAACAAAATAAAGATTAAAGACTTCAAAGTTTTTCATTAGAAGTTTATGCAAATATTCAATCAATGTCACTCCTTTGGACTCTAAATTTCTTCTATGAAAAAATGTTCCTTGAAATTTCTTTGTTCACATAAATGTGATTTTAAGAATAATGTTATGAGTAATGTTATATTTATACCACTCTTTTATTATTTTAAATAATTTCACTTATTATATACACTTATACATTATAGCTTCACTTATCATGGGTCGAAAACAGACACTCTTTGCACCATTTAGTGCCCTATAATGAGACAAAATTAATGAATGATAATCCAATTTTTGCTCAAAGGTTCCTAAAGTCCTTTCACACACTAAAGTCTCATTTCACACAATCTTTTCACACAAATATTTTTTTTCCAGGAATTAAGTTGGATGCCTATTTCCATCTACAAAAGTAGGACTTAAGATTGCAAAGATACAAAATTTTGTAGCAATTTTCTCAAGTTTTTTTTTTTTTTTTTAAATCCAAGATACAAAGAAGATGATAGGGTTAAACATCAAAGACTTAGTAATGGTATAGAAGTTAGGTTAAACTGCATATCAAGTGGGTTTGGATAGTAGTACAAAATTTGGATCCATTTTTCATTAGAGCTTTTACTAGCTTTTAAAGAATATACACATTTATTGTTTAATTCCTATTTTGTAACCACTAATCACAAACCCTTACTTTTATGTAAACAGTGCACAGAATTTTAAAATTATATAACAAGACAGTGATAGCTTGCGTAATTCAATGAACCTTTCACAAAAGTTTGGTACAAATTTCGGTAATTTTCAAGGAGAAGGAATATGTCAAATTTCCTTGAAGTTTCTTTACTTTTTTTACTTTGATTTGAAAGGAGGGACCCGTGTCTCTTGCTTTATTATTAACATACACTTCCATGTAATTATTAAAATAAAAAAAATGGGTGTATATCCCATTTCCCGCAAGCTACACTCTTGTTGACTCAAAACTCCTGTGAGTCTTTTAAGAAGAGAAAATTTCGAAACAATAAATAGATAGATTGGCAAAATCTTTCATCATCTTCGAGGGAATTGGCTACTAATTAAATGAAAAGAAAATAATTAATAAAAATTGGTAATTGACATGTAATACATGATATGATAAAGTAATGTTATTATTACATAAACCATGTAACATTATTGACACAATGGAATAAGATTAAATGTTAGATGTCTTTTAGCATAGAGGTTTGAATATATAAACGATATCTTTTGAGTCCACGAGACAAAATATCGAATTCACAACAAAAAAAATTTTGAAGAGAAAATCTTTTGATATGAAAAATATTCATGGAAAAAAGTTATGCAATCTGTTTGTTTGAAGACAAGACCGGCAATTTGCTGCAAATCTTTACCAGAAATTTGAAACGAAAATATGAACAATATAATCAGTTATATTCTATTGATTCAAGAAAAAGTTCATAAACAGCATTGCTCGGTCTGGAACTTGTAGCTGATACAACTCCGCTTTTTCAATTACTTCCTTCAGAGCATCTCCACCCAAAAACTTGAGAACCTATGGCCACAAACCAAACGAAGCAATAATAACATATGCAGATTGTCCTTCAGAAACAGAATAAAAAAGTTACAGTCCAAGCCCTCCAATCAATGAGGACAGTAAGATTCATGAATAAATAAATCATGAGAGAAAGTGCAGAACAAAAACCAGACGGCAAAGGCGTAGAATAGTGGACATAACCAAATACAATAAAGCTACATTATTGCTTGTTCCAGAGGAAAACAGGAAAGGAAAGGAGGAAATGACAATCAAAAACCTCATTTGCATCATTGAAGCAACAGAGCTCATCTTTCTTTGGCCATTGGACACGCCAGCATCTGAAAACCGACAAACAAACTACATGAAGAGATAATTCTAAGTATATGGATACTACTTTTGGGGGGCAATATAAACAGAATTCAGTCTCTAAACCTAAAACATGATGATGATAATCAGACAGGGCGTAATATTGTAGTAAAGATACCATTTTATACTACTATTACTAAAGATATTGCCTACATTAAGGTTTCACCAGGACAAGATTTGGCACCATCAATTTGATAATTCAGTGCAATATAAACCAAAAGCTATAAGTTTTGGACTATTGATAAGTAGGTTGTTGTGCGAGAAAGTGATACACTCTGCTATCAATCACTATGCTACAGCACTAAATCAAAGTAATATTGCAAATGAATTTAATAATTGAAAGCATTTGCATATATAAGTTTCTAGAAGAATGTAAAAGTTTCTGAAGTACATGAAAGGAATTAATTTATAATTGAAACCTCTCTTTTCCAAGACGGCGTGCTAGCTCTTCAGCCAAGGCTTGGCCAGGTACATCACCATCAGTTGCCAGGATAATGCGAGAAACCTACAAGATTTATTAACGCTTTTAAGAAATAATATCAAGCAATGAAAAGAGGAAGACCAATACAAATTTCCATAACAGCTCTATCACTAGAGCATGCATATGTATTAAGTTTACCTTATCCAAGTGCTCTTTGCAGTTCCATATATACTGATATCCCCTGTCCTATGTTCCCAAACAAGAAGCAGAAAAGAAATTGTAAGCAAATATTAAAAAAAAAAAAACCACAACACACAACAAAAAATAACTTTTAATTAAATTCAAGACATTAATTGCAAATCAAAATAAAAAAATAAAACTATCAATGAATAATTTGTTACTCTTTCATAAGGAAGATGCAATCAAACCTTATATAGAATGGAAGAACTATTTTTATCGACCACTTACATTATGCAATATTTCTTGGCAATGAATACATAATACAAAATATACGTTAATTCAAAGCAAATTTTGAAAAACTTAAATGGGCTACAGATAGAATGGAATCAATGGCTTTGTGAAAGAGAAGCTAAATCTAATTCAATATGATATCTTAATTCAAAGCAATAATTTATTGGATACTTAAGAATTTGAGTTAAATGTGAGTATGCATTTACATTCAGGAAAAATATCAAAGTTCTTTCATATTTGCCAATTAAAAAAAGGGCTTTTAATGATGCTACATACTTCTTTGCATAAAGGAAATTAATAAATTTGTATAAATCATCATCACAGGCTCCAAAATTTCCAAGTCTCGAACCAAACCTTTTCCCGTGGTGGTAATTCTCTGGCAGAAGCCTTTTCTGGTGCTCCACAAGGAACACTTACACAATTTAGGAAGCCAGCTTCCTCCATCGCAAGCTTATCCATTTCACCTTCAACCTATGATCAGCATCAAACAATAAAAATCAGTAGACAAAGAGATTTAAATTAGTGAGTAAAAGAAGCCGAAGTATGATTTGGCGGTATTTACAATGATGATTTCAGCAGCTTCCTTTATATCATCAAGTCCAAATAACCATTTCTCTGTGCCCCTCTCCTGAAATGAAAGCAACAATCCCACAAGAAAATCAGACTACAATGCAGCTACACTTGATTATAGATTGACAAAACAGGAATGACAGGTACTGAAATGGCACTTTAATGTACTACGGACAAATTCACTATCTCCACACAACAAATGAAAGAAACTAGCCAATAAGCTTTTTGCCTTTGCTGATTGGCATTAGCTCTCCCAGTCCATGACAACTGTCCCCCACCAACTGCAGCAGCAGCTTGTGCAATAACTCTAAAGAATCGGAGATTACCAAGACGTAGATGCAGACCCATACTGCCTAATCATGCTGAATGCCTCTGCATAAGCTCCATTCACCCAGTTTTTTGTCCGCATCGGCACCTTCAAAAAGGACCCCATGATCTGCCAGAACAATTGACATGTGGACAGCATCAGTTGACCTTCATCTCCTGCTTCCTTTGACAAGTATAGGATAGCTGGTAACAACTGAAACTAAGAGCAAAACATATGGGTACACAAGAGGGTCCTTTCCATTCTTGTATAATTCGAAGGGTTTATTGGTAAGCCTGCAGATCATCAAACTTATGGTGCCAGACCCTCATTCAATATAACGATGAGGCTCCACGGGTACATCCCGTACAGCCGACAATTTGAACCACAGAAATCCTCTATAGTATTGAATAGAGTTGCTAATCTCTAAGCAGGCGACAATTTGCCTGCGAGAACCGATATGATAGCATAGAGTAACAACTTTTTTTCATATGCAGGTCGACCCACACGATCACCCATCTCTGAACATTTTTCACATTCTTCTGAAGCAGCAGCTGCAATCCTGGAGGCACCATACCTCCAGTGTAATCCACTCTGTAAGCTGTCAAAAATGAAGTAACAATAAGGAGTGATTATAAGGTATTAGTACTGACGGAATGAACAATCAGTACCACAGGAGCAAACTGATTTGAAGGACGGGATGATAAGGCAACATTTCTGCTTCATCATAGTATCCCGTTCTCAAGCAAAATAAATCTGTCACATAAAAAAAAAAATGCAGTAAAGAAGTAAAATAAAAAAAGAGAATCTATCATAAAATCAAAAAACTGATTCAATTCTTGCCAATCAACCAAATCTGTTATGATCTAAGAAATAAAAAATACACAAGAAATACAGTGGGTGGCCTTTTGTCTTACATTTAAATATTTTTTAGTAGGAGTGCCTTCCTTCAATATAAAGCAACCAAATAATAATAAAATAATATAAAATAAAAATCCGAAAATGGGCTCTCTACAACAGAAAATGCGAACTAAAGCTAACAGCAATGTCCCTAGAGACTAGAGGTCATAAGTTTCAAAGTCAAGTTTGTGGCTATTTGAGTTTTCACATCTTCCCTCTAGCCTATTAGTGAAAAAACAAGGCCCCGAGAAATGGAGCACAATGTCACAACAAAATAAAAGCAAACACGCTAGCAGCAAATTTTGGCAATGATGTGCACACGGTTACCGTAACAATAAGTTGGTACCTAAAAGGTTTTGAACGAAAATAGGTACCTTTGTCAAATCTGTAGTGGTTTCTGTTTATTAATAGTAAAAAGACTAAAATGCCCTTTAAAGTTTCAATTTTAGTTTTTTATAAATTAAAAATTTCTAAAAAACCCCCTAGATTTGCTAATTTAATTAAACACACCCTAATATAAAAGTTTGTTAATGAACAAAAACACCCCACCACCCCCAGTGCCAGTTCAGCACCATCGTCGGAATCTGGCCTTCGGATCTGTGTCGTAAGTGCCGATCTGGCCCTTCCGGTCAGATCCGCCACGGATCTGGCCGGAAAAGGCAAGATCTGGCCGGCGAAGCAGCAGCCAGATCTGGCCTTTTCTGGCCAGATCAGCCACGGATCTGGCCAGAAAAGGCAGATCGACGCGTTACGCACAGATCCGACGGGTCTGGTCGTAACCAACTTTCCGGCCAGATTGGGCGGTGGTGGCCGGAATCTGGCACTGCGGGTGGCAGGGGTGTTTTTGTTATTTTACAAAATTTTTATTATTGGGGTATTTAGTTAAATTTGTAAACCTATGGGGTTTTTTAGAAAATTTTCAAATTATAAAAACTAAAATTCAAACTTTAAGGGCATTTTAGTCTTTTCACTATAATAAACAGAAATCACTAACGAACATAACGAAAGGTACCTATTTGTCGTTCAAAACCTTTTGGGTACCAACTTATCGTTACGACAACCTTGGGTACGTGTAAGTCGTTTCTCCGCACAAATTTTACATAATCCAGAGCAAACATTTTATTTCACTCCATAGTGTACAAGAGTTAAAGACTAGAGGTCACAATTTCAAAAAGATTCCAGTACATAACACAAAATTATGTCCAAGATTAATATGTATTAATTATGTAATTATTTAATTAATTTCTTAGGCCTACTCCAAGATAAGTATTTTTATTTTATGGGTTTAGTTTTGTAAGATCTTATTGGTAGTTACATAAATGAAAAAATAAAATCTTAAATAATATCCTAATAATATAATATAATTTGGACAGATAATGTGTTAACAGAGTAGTGTCCTAATAATTCATATATAAAAATTTTAATCAATGGAAATGGTTCTGCGTCGAAATCCTAGTTAGAAATACAGGTATGGTAAAAAAAAAAGTATAGGAATTCTACGATATGATACAGCAAATGGTGAAAATACGTTTGTAAAAATTTGGTCATAAATTTATATGCGAAAAAAATACGTGTATTGGTATACTAAGGGTGTTCAAAAGAACGGTTGGAACCGGAACCGGAACCGACAGGACCCTGAGTTTGGTCTGGTTCTACCCAGAACTAGTTGTCAAAAGGGTAGGTTCCGATTCCAAATTGGAACCATTACTGCGCGTTTTGGTTCCTATAGTCCGGAACTGGAACCAGGAACCAGGAACGAGACTAGTATAAAATAATAAAGATTAGGGGGTAATAGAAACTTTTGTAGAAAAATTAATGTGATACATTTATATTATATCTAACATTTAAAGTAGTTGGTTTGACTTGAGAATCTACATTTAAAGTAATGGAGTTTGTAATTTGTAATTTTATTTTTGTTAACAAGGCCAGGGTGGGAGGGTATTTGTAAGTTTTTAAGGTTTGTTTTTGCCGCTTTTTAAAAATTTTGGGGGTCATGTAATTTTACAGTGACCCAGAACCAGAAACGGAACCATTGTTACAGGTTCTAGTTCTGGGTACTAGGAACCGGAACCGTCGGTTTCGGTTCCTTCAAACAGTACAGGGTACCCGGACCGAAACACCTAGTATATACGGGTTTTACTAAACAACATTATCAATAATATGGTTTGAAAATATGGTAATATCAATCCTAATTTTAACACTTTCTATAGACACATGGTTAAAATCAATATAGAATTTCATTATTTTCATTGTCTTGTTACATATATGGTAGGGTATACCAATACATAGCCTAACTATTTCTAATAAAGCTAACACTTAAAGTTTATAATAAAGTTAAAACTTGTATAAAAAAAAAAACTGTTATAACCATACAATACAAAACAACAAACTAAAGGATATATGTTAAAACTTGTATAGAAATGTGTATCGTGACGTGAGGCGTTGAGAGTTGAAGTCTTGGACTTGAGCTTGGACCTTGAGAAGAGAGAAAAAGAGAAGAGAAAGAAGAGATCAAGACTCAAGAGATGAAGAAAAGAGAGTTAAAGCGATGAAGAACTGTAAAGATTTGAAGAACTGTGAAGAAAAACTAAGGAAAACCAAAAGGAAGGAGAAAAGAAAATCTTTTTTTAGTCATACCCCACCAAAACGACGTCATTTTGGATTTTCATTTAATTTTTTTTTTTTGCCTATGGAATTCGGCAATAATACGCTATTAATTCGCATATATACAACAACCTTGATAAAATATGTAAATTTGAGTTTTATACGCGTATTTACTAACTAGGGCCTAAATTGCTTTCTTTTACAATTTGTGCATTCTGTTTTCATTTTCTTTGCCTAATAAATCGTGAAAAATTGCTCAGCTACGGTTTTTTGAAATTTTAGATGAGAGAACGGATAAAAAAGCTTGTAGAAGAGAAAAACATGAGCCCCACATTTTATATGAAAATTTATAATTTTGATTAAAAAATATTTTATTCTCTTCTTTTTGCTTTTCTCTTTTAAAAAAAACAATTTTTTTTCTTAAAAAAATATTTGTTAGTACAAAATTGCAAGGGGAACAAAAAATGATATAATTAAGATAAGTTTTGAGACAAATAAAATAAACCATATTTTCAAGGGGTTTTATCAATTGTGTAGGTGGTCAATTTCATATATTTTTCTTTTCAATCAATATATCAAACTCTTTTTTTCTTTTCTTTTTTCAATCATTTCAATATTAAAAACAGAAATAGATACAAAATATAAAAGAACACATTCCTAGCTCTACCAACTTTTGTCTTTATTTATTATTATTATTTCTTTTATGGAAGGCAATTGGTAATCACATAATTCTAGAGTAAATTCTATTTTTAATAAAAACCTAACATTTTCAAAATTAGAACTAGTGAGATGGGTATAGGGGGAATTTCTCAATACTTAGCCAATATATATATATTATTAAATATTAATTAATTATAATAATATTATATATGAAGTTTTTATCGATTTGAACTTATAATAAAGGGGTTTCTTAACCCCTCGCAAAATGAATCATATAAAATTTCTCTAAAATTTCAAAAATAACATAAATCCTCTCATGTTAGTATCTGGTTTGAACTTATAACATGAAATGTTAATAAATATTTTCTTAATATCCTTCACTTTTTATTTTGACCCCAGAAGCTAAAGGGCAAAGAGAATTCTTCAATTACTATAGACCATAGAGGATTTTTGTTATTTGGTTATACTTCGCGGAATTATTGTTATAAGCAGTTGTCTAAGATATTACCTCCGACGATACTAATCAAGAATCCCTAATGCTCTATTTTGCAGCAGAAAACGTGATTCAATTGCATGATTTCAAGTTTTGATGAAGAATTATGTTGCAAAACACCATGAAACATTCCAAGGAAAAAAGGCATGAATCTATTAGTAGTAATTGCTGCATACTTTACCATGAATTTGGACTGAAAAACCATGAACCATAAACGCATTATCAATAAACTTATGTTGATTTCTGATATAATGGGCCCAAACCTTGAGTCGAGGGCCTAGATGGTTGAGCAAAACTATTTTGAAAAACCAGCTTGCCAAATGAGAGTACCCAACTCCGTATAAACCACTTAATCCCTCATTCCTTTCCAATGTGATCTAAAAATTTCAAATATCATTTAGGTTTTTCAGTCTTTTGAAAGAATTGGGCACAGCCACCCTTAAGCTTTGCAAGATATTTCACAAATGAAATGGGCACAGCCAACCATTCCATTGCCAAGAACTATGTTAAAAGGAGAAATGAAAGAAACGAAACCTGTAATTCTTTGAATGTGTTTTATGAGCTTTATGTACACCGTTTTTGTTGGTCTGGAACTTGGTAGCTGATACAACTCACATTTTCAATTACTTCCTTCAGAGCACCTCGACCCGGAAACGTTTATAACCTATGGCCACGGACCAAACACCGTAGTAAGAACAATCTACAGATCATCCCTTAAAAATGAAACTCTTAAGATTTTGACAGAAATAAAAGAAAACGTTACTCTTAATTTTTTCCAGCTATTTTAATCCCAGTCCTCTAATTCCCAAACCCTCGAAACAATGAGGACATACAATTCATGATGAATAAATAATATATGAGAGAAAGCATGTTCATTTTTAAAATCATCAGTTCTATCATATCAGTTGGAGAAAGTGCGAAACAAAAGCCAAACCGCAAAGGTAGAATAGTGGACAAACCAAATACAGGTAAAACTACATTATGCTAATTCCAAAGGAAAACAGCAAAGGAAGGAAGAAAAGAGAATCAAAACCATCATTTGCAACATTGAGCAACAGAACTCATCTTTCTGGGCCTGGACACGCAGCATCTAAAAAGACAGACAACTAAAGAGATAATTAAGTATTTGGATAATACTTTTGGGGGAGATATAAAACAGAATTCAGACTCTATACCTCAAACATGATGATTATCAGCAGACAAGGTATACTATTGTAGTAAAATTTCTGTTGATACGTTATTTACAAAAGATATTGCCACATTAAGGTTTCACGTGTCAAGATTTGCACCATCAATTGATAATTCACTGCTATCTTTACAATCCTAGATACCACCAATTAAAGCAAAAGCTATAAAATTGGGCTCCGACAAGCAGGCTTCATCAATTTTTGTCTTAATCACTGATTAGAGTCACAAGTTTCTGAAGCACATGAAAGGAATTAATTATAATTGAAACCTATGCTTTCCAAGATGGCATGCTAGCTCTCAGCCAAGGCTTGGCCGGGTATTCACCATCATTCTAGGATAATGCGAGAAACCTCAAGATTCATTCATGTTTAGAAATAAGATCAAGCAATGAAAGAGAGGAAAACAATAACATATCAGTTCAAGCATGCATTAGTAATAAGTTTACCTATCAAAGTGCTCTTTGCAGTTCCATATATACCATATCCAGTATCCTATGTTCCCAAACATGCACAAGAATTGTAAGCTAATATTAAAAAGTCATTGTCGAAATGCCAAGTTTGATATGAAATTTAAAAAAAATGCTAAGAATCAAAACAGGCAACAAACTAAAAACAGTTTTCCTTTCATATGAAAATGCAATCAAACCTTAGGGATGAAGAACTATTTAACCCACCCCTTACATATGCAAATTTATTGGCAATGAACACATGCATAAAATATACATTAATTCATAGCGAAGTTAGAATAACTTAAATGGGCTACATATTAAATGGAATTAATTGCCTTTACTTTAAATATTGAAGTCTTTTTTTTTTCCGTAAAATATTTTTCATGTAACCATATTCTTGAGCTATTTTATGCATACTAATATCCCACCATTTGCCAATTAAATTTTTTTTTGAGTTGATACATTTATGTAAATCATCATCACGGGCTCAAAAATTTCCAAGTCTCAAACCAAACTTTTTCTGTAGCGGTAGTTCTTTAGCAGAAACCTTTTGTGGTGCCCACAAGAAACGGTTACACAATTTAGGAAACCAATTGCCTCGATTGCAAGCTTGTCCATTTCAGCTTCAACCTATGATCAGCAACAATAATAAAATTCACTAGAGAAAGAATTTGAATTACTGGTAAAAGAAGCCAAAATATGATGTAATGATATTTACAATGATAATTTCAGCCGCTTCCTTTCATCAAGTCACAATGACCATTTCTTTGTGCCCCTCTTCTCCTGAAACAAAGGAAGAACTATCGCAAGCCTGATGCTTGGTACTTAAAACATTCCATTGCCTCGACAATGGAATTTTAGAGTATTTTTTTTATTGTAACATTTGTGCTACAACATAAACTAAACCAAGGCCTGGTACTTAGAGGGCACGGCCCTCCAAAATGAAGTTTGAGTCAGTTTGAAACATTTGATCACAAATGATGAGGATATGAGAATATGAATCCTTCAATCCAACTAAGGATCAATCTAATATCTAGAATTTCGGAGTCAGTTACCTCTAATCTTAATCACCACTCTGGAATTCCTTTTCTAAAAGCCAAAACACATTAATTAGAGCATTCTATGTGGTTGTGCTATGTCCCACTTTTATCTCTGTCACTCCATTGGTTATCAAACTATATTTATCCATTCAACATCCATGGAAAGGATGAACACAAATACCTGCCAAAAAATTTTCTCCCTGCAGGTTCGGTGCTTGCAACAAATGACCACCCCATTTTGTCTAAAAGGGAAAGATATGACCACTGTTAACAAGTTTTGGAAGTGGTTAGATAGCAAACTTCAAGATGAGAGCAAGATCCATCGTACATTTAAATATCTTTTCTGAGATTATAGCGCCGCCATGTGCATAATTTGAGAATTAAAATTGTTAGGATACTCTCTAATTGACAGTCAATAAGCTACCAAGATTTGCATCGATAAATATAATTGCTAGATGTAACATATTCACTGACCAACTATAGGCAAAAACTCAACGATTAATCAAACATGGGACGAAGAAAAATCTTTGCATTACATCAACAACGGCCAACAGCCACAAGCAATGGAATAGAGAGGCGACCGAATGCAGTGAGGAGCAAGGTAAATTAACTCTTACAAACCTATTGATCAAATCCATAGTTACTAAAGTGATATATAAAGATAGCAGTTTAGATTTGGAAAAATTGATCCCAAAAGGAGTTTTAAAAAGCTACAGCAACAAGTATCTATCTTGCCTACTAGTGGCAATCATTTTCTACACCTTGGCTGCTGATGATAGTATGCATCAATTTCATCAAAGTAATCTCTAACGTTGTATAATCCACTTATAGGGTACAACGGCATTCTCATTACTTCCTTCAGTACTTGTGGTCTGAGATACATAAGTACCTGTGAGCATCATATAAAAAATTGTTATTTGTTGAGGTAATGATCTAAACAAAATGTTGTAGCAAAACAACTCCAGATTACCAACTAATATAACGATGTCTACAATGAAACACAACCTTATGCATTGGCAACAACATGCACGCCTTTATCACTAATCCACTTGATCTAGAATCATTTACAATCAATACCTGGGAAAAAAACGCAGAAATTATGCAAACAAAAGATAACTTCCCTGCTTGGTAGACACATAAGCTACAAGCAAGACGGACAAACATATCTAAATTTTTTTTTTCTTATAGAAGATAATACATTAGTTTTTCAACATATGTATCTCACTTTTATATATAAAGACATTGATATCGACCTCATTTGCGTCTTTAAAATGATTAACCTCATAGCTCTTTGGCCACTTGACTCGCCAGCATCTGCCATAGATATAAAAACTGATTAGAAGATTGCCTAAAGAGAGACTAATGGTACACAAATACATCAGTGCATCTTGACAATATAGACCTTTCTTTTCCACTGGCAGCGTGCAAGTTCTTCAACTAAGGCTTGTCCAGGGAATCCCCATCAGTGGCTAGTATAATGCATGATGCCTGTCAATACCAACATCTTTAAAACCAATGCCTTTATATGTTTATATTAGCCACAACTGAAAGTAAAGAAAGCCTATCATACCAACCTTTTTAAGTTACTCTTTGCAGTTCCACAGATACTGATATTTAGTGTCCTAGCTTTACAAAATACATAGAAGGTGCATTAGATCCAGAATTTTTAGCAAGTGCACAGAAAACACATGTTCTCAATATGAGAGAGAATCTCTATTTGTGCTCCACTTTTTGCCTTCAGGAATACCATATATATGACCCTCTCAATCACAAAGAATCAAATGCAGCAAAATGAAGCTAAATAAAGCAATCACCACCTAAGGGGAAAAGGTTACAGTCAGACCATGTATAGATAAACCTATTATCTACAAACAAGGACATGAGTATAGCATCTGGACATAACACTGGTGCCAAACATGCAACTCCGAAAATTAGAGACATGCAAACGTTGTACATGCTCACATTTGTGCATTTATGATATCAATCAAATACTGATTTATGATGATATACTTGTTTGCTTGTAAGTAAATCATCAAGCTTGAAATGTTTAGGTTTCATATTAAAAAAAAAAAAAAATTTGTTAAAAAATGGTGATGCGTTTTGCCACAACTGTCCATACATATGTTGGACAGGGTAGACACAAGCAATAAGTTTCAAGTGAACACACCAAATTTTCATCAGGGAAGTGTCCCCAAATCATACCACTGAAAAATGTTTGCAAATAGCAAGTTTTAGCCATAAAGATAAAAATGAATGGTTCATTACAAACTTAGTAAATGAAAGTTTAAATTACTTCAATTATAGAAATGTAACTCACATGGGACTAAAGGATACTTTCAATGATTAGACCTAAATTGTGTTGATGACAGGACATGCTAATAATTGACCTTAAAAATTATTCATATAATCCCCTAGGCAATATGCATAAACATGTAAATTTTTGAGGTAGTGTTGAAAAGAGATTCTCTTTGATAAGGTAGTTTCTTATATTGCATAGTTGAAACTTGAGATTCGAGATCCTAGTTGACATTTCTTGGTTGTTACATTTATAAGATCTTGTCAAGAGAAGTAAGCAAGCCATGAAAACAATTACTTTGAGATAATGAAAGTGACATGACTCAACATTTCAGTCAGCCAAACCTTGTCTTCAGGTGGCAAATCTTTTGTGGAAACTTGAGCAGGTGCTCCATTAGAACACTGACAATTACAAAAGCCAGCTTCCTCCATTGAAAGCTTGTCCATTTCACCTTCAACACCTATAATCAAAAGTTCAACATTGGTAAGTACGGAGGTCAATTAACAGTTAGCAGAAACTCTCGAAAATAAAGAGGAAGACATACAATGATGATTTCACTTTCTCCCTCTATATCATCCAAACCATAAAATACCTTGTCAGTATCCTTGTCCTGAAATAAGATCAGTACAAATTGATCTAAATAACGGTTAGTAGAGTTCATACGCATAAGCATTCAGAGTATAGAAGTGATATGAGAATCAAAAAAGGAACTGTCCAATGGATAAGTGAAAATTACTCCATCTCCATGCAGTCAAATTAAATTCAATGTTATGAGGGCTGCACATCACTGAACAACAGAATATACCTCCACTCGGTTTTATGTACATGAAAATCCCACTGACCAGGTTTATTAATAACCAATTTATGGTTTAATATGTATTTGGCACCAGTCAAAGGTAATTTTACAATAATGTGGCTTCACAGCAAATGTCTCCAGGAGGAATTAGTAATCTCATGTTAAAATTCAACTGTCTAAAAGGCACTTGTATTAGAACTCTTAAGTCATCATTTAATCTTCCATTGATCTAATTAAAAATTAGTTATAAAAACCTGCCAAAATATCTTCATGATGTCCCGATATTTGCAATTTACGAGCTTCCCCCCTTTTCCGATAAGTAAATGCAGTAACAATCTGGCAACAAATTAGATTAGATAGTGTCACATTTGGGCATATTGTAAGTTTTTGTCACATTAAGAAAGCTAACTTGGAGCTGCGCCTAATAGATTTCACTTTCTTCCACATTGCATGATGAAGAAAACTGTTGAGCAACTGTTCTAAACAGAAATAACTTTATTCCAATTGTTAACTATTTTTCAGGTTTTCCACAAAGTTTAACTCTGATAAAGACAATGGTAAGAAATAACAAATTTAACGTATGTTGGAGGAAGTCAATGTGAACAAAAGTTAACTGCTAATGAATTAAAACCATGTACCACCATCTGCCCTCTTTCAATATGGCTTCAGATTATATATATATATAGATATAGTGTGGTTGTGGTTGTGATCATGTGCCCATTCACAAGCCTTTGCACATAGGAGGGCCTGTCGAACTTAAACACTATTCGTAGGCTTTACCTCTTAATTTTACGGACAAAAACTGAATATTATCAAGAACAAAATGAGAATAATTATTTTCTTGTAGTCTAGACATGGTAAAGGCTATCAGCATCCTAGCATAGGATTTATAGTTCAAGATAGTTGGAAACTCATTATTCCAACATCTTACTCAAATATCTTTCTGCATGACACGATTTCTCTGTAGCGTCTCTGATGTATCATTCGCTTGGCAAAATAGCGACTAAGCTGAAACAGGACAAAATGTAAATTTTTTATTAAAAAACTGATGCAAAAGACAAAGATGATAAACTGATCAAGAATCAAAGCCTCAGAATCCTGTAAACTCAATAAAGAGAGGGAGAGAGAGATAATACGAATAACCATGCATATATAGTATACACTTATGAAATGAACAAGAAAAAGCATTTCTTGATGGCTTGAAAGCATAAATTGAAATGCACAAAGGGAGCTTCAGCAACTACACAGCAACAGTTGCCAGAAACCAATTTTTGAGGAAAGAAAACACCAGTAGAAGGCTAGTGCCCCTCAAGCAAACATCTAAAACATGTTTTGAATGAAAATAAAAGTTGTATTAGAAACAAGAAAATTAATCATGTACAATAGAAAACAGCGAATAACAGAATGCTTAAGATCTGTTAAACCCCCCATACGTAAGGTCTATAAGTCCAAGGGCAAGGGAAGGAAGAGGGGCAGGGTACAATAAGTGAGGGTCCAGTAGAGGATGTTGACGTGGCCAAGGAGGGGGATTAGGCAGGGGAATTCTGTTGTGGAAAGGGACACGTACAGGGAAGTTTGTTATGAAAAGGACACCTGGCTGACAGTTTGTTGAAGAATGACTATTTAAGAAGATGAAAGTGAGGAGGGAGGATATCTAGAAATATTATCATTGGCTGGTCTTGGAGGGTCCCAGCTCCTCGAATTGCTGGAATCTATTGATCTTTCTTTTTCTTGTAGTTGTGCTATTTTTCCTATCTTAGCTTCCATTAATATAAACCTCCATTTCTTCACTTGTGCATTTCCTGTGTTTGTGTGCTATGTGTGCATTGTTGTGGTTCTTTTTACAGGGAGTTCCATCAGATTGGTATCAGAGCTGTGTTGCCATCAATTTAACACTGGGGAATGGTCAAATAAAAAGGATAATAGGATGGATAATATGGAAAAAGAGATGAAATCAGTTCAAGAAGATATGAGTTCATCAAAACTAAGTGGGGAGTCTTAAGGAATACTTGGCCGAGATGAGAGAGTTGTTGAGGTTGAGAGAGGAGAGAGAGGAGAAACGTTACCAGAAAAAGAGAGCACCAGTCATCTTCCGAAATGCAGATTCAGGTGATTGGTGTGAACATGAACAAGACACAGGGGGGGACAGTGGAAAAGGGGAAGGAAATCCAGGAAGCTGGAGCTTCCAATCTTCAGTGGGGAGGACCCTTTTGGATGGACTTTCGCGCCGACCGATACTTCGCTATCAACAATATGGACCATCGGAGATGGTGGAGGCAGCGCTGTTTGCATAGAGGGCAGTGCACTAAACTGGTTACCAGTGGGTAGAAGGACGAGATCCCTTCAAGACATGGAAGAGCTCAAGGCTACTCTAATCGCAAGATTCAGACCATCTTTCAAGGGTCTGCACATGAGGCCCTAGTGGCACTAAACAGGCTCCACTGGACTAATACAGGAGATTTGAAGCCCTTACAGCTCCGTTCAAGGATTTGGAGAAGAATTGTTAATGGGGGTTTTCATAAATGGGCTTAGGGAAGAATTAGGCT